ACACCAACTTGTCTCCCACCCTGTAAACCATATGCACAAATATAAATATTTTACACTGCAGTCTTTGTTTTGGATACTATAGGCAGAAATCTTTGTATGTTAAAAGATACTTTGAAACAATAACATTAGCAATGACAACAGCACCAACCAAGAAAACTGAGGTCCTTCTTTCTCTTCATTATCTTGTTAAAGAAGAGCACCAAAAGGCTGGCTCTAGAGAAGGTAAACTGGTTTTCATCATTGGTTTGTGAAATCTAGTTTGATTTCTTAAATTTATATCATCACTTTTTTTGTGTTCAAAATTATATTTTCATCATAAAACAGACATTGTCCCCTAAAAACAGGTTATTATGATAAAACTCAGAACCATTCATAGTTACTCAGAAAGATTTAGGTGAATGAGTTTCAGTTCTGTTCTTCAGTTTAAACCTTTGTGTAATTACAAATCAAGAAATAATAGTCTCAATCATATCTTAGGATTTTGACACCAATCAATCATTAAGAAAGTACAGAATTTGGAAAGCAGTATGGAGATTTCTTGGAAAGCTGGGAATGGAGCCACCATTTGACCCAGCTATTCCCCTTCTTGGTCTATTCCCTAAAGACCTAAAAAGAGCATGCTACAGGGACACTGCTACATCGATCATAGCAGCACAGTTCACAATAGCAAGACTGTGGAACCAACCTAGATGCCCTTCAATAGACGAATGGATAAAAAAAATGTGGCATTTATACACAATGGAGTATTACTCTGCATTAAAAAATGACAAAATCATAGAATTTACAGGGAAATGGATGGCATTAGAGCAGATTATGCTAAGTGAAGCTAGCCAATCCCTAAAAAACAAATGCCAAATGTCTTCTTTGATATAAGGAGAGTAACTAAGATCAGAGTAGGGACGAAGAGCAGGAGAAGAAGATTAACATTTAACAGGGATGAGAGGTGGGAGGGAAAGGGAGAGAGAAGGGAAATTGCATGGTAATGGAAGGAGACCCTCAGGGTTATACAGTGGAGGGGGTAGAGAGAGAGGAGGGGAGGGGAGGGGAGGGGAGAGGTGGGGAGGGGGGAGGGTGGAGGATGGGAAAGGCAGCGGAGCACAACAGACACTAGTATGGCAATATGTAAATCAATGGATGTGTAACTGATGTGATTCTGCAATCTGTGTATGGGGTGAAGGTGGGAGTTCATAACCCACTTGAATCAAAGTGTGGAATATGATATGTCAAGAAATTTGTAATGTTTTGAACAACCCACAATAAAAAATTAAAAAAAAAAAAAAAAAAAGAAAGTACAGAAGTCATTTGTGGCTGAAATCCCAATCTCAGCAAACACTTCAAAAAATACACTTCTTTATAATAATTTTAAAATCCCAAATATGCAAAAAGAACAAACACTGGGTCCAGAGAAGTGGCTCAGTGGTAGAATGCTTGCCCAACAATGCACAAAGCCCAGCACCACAAAGTTTGCAGTAGCTTAGTTAGCTAGTAACAAACTATCCTGAAAACCAAAGAGTACTCTGTATTTAACCCAAGAGAATATATAGGTTGTACAAACAGGTAAGACAGAAACAGAAGCAGTGCTGCAAAACATTATTGAGGCTATGTATAACAAACCTAAAAAGAGGGTTGAATCCAATGTATAACAGAAAGATAGAGTGTGTCTTACAAAAATGATGCCTGTATGGATATATGTTTCCTGGGGTATGACTACTCTAACTGTATTTCAATGATCTGAATATGTTATTTTGAAAGGTAGAAGAACCTCCTGAAGGGAACAGCAGGATGTATGTGATATTCCACTTAAGAAACCACTGGTTCACACTAAGAAAATTAGAAAGATGAGATCATTTATATTCTATCAGAAAGTTGCACTAAGTACCAGGAATTAGCAAAAACCGTCAGAGGAGGTGATACCTATGTGGGTGATACCTAGAATCTGTTAGATAAGCACACATATAAATAGAGGAACACTGAACTTGGTTAAGGTAATTACAAAGTTTCTTCAAACATTTTTTTTTTAATGAAGAAAAAAACCTTTATATCATGATTCAGTATATAAACATATATGCACACAAACCTGAAATAAAAATTCCATGAAACAATTTATACCATGTACTCTTATTCTATCTTTTGTTACTCTATTAAAAAAATAAATAAAACCAATGCTGGGCTGGGGATGTGGCTCAAGTGTTAGCGCGCTCGCCTGGCATGCATGCGGCCCGGGTTCGGTCCTTAGCACCACAAACAAACAAAGATGTTGTGTCTGCCGAAAACTAAAAAAAAAATAAATATTAAAAAATTTTTTTTCTCTCTCTCAAAAAAAAAAACAAAACAAAAAAACCCAATGCTGGTTATTCACTCCCTATATTGATTTCACAAATTCCCGAGCTGACCTCAGGTTTGAAAAACACTTGTATGTTTTCAAAATCTTCTCATATTGTCACATGTATAACCTGTTCCCAGTGGCCTGGGACTTAGAGAAAATTATCAACAATGAATGTCAATTCTAAAAATGTTTTTAGTTCACACAATATGAGCATTTTGGTCTTTTTGGAAACTGTCTTCATATGCCACAATTTAGAGAGCAGAATTTCAAGGAAAAGGCAGCTGCTTTAAGAATTAATGCCATGATTTTAAGAATTAAACCAGTAAGGACAGGGCAAGCATAAAGGTGGGAATTTCCATTTGTTTCAGGGACATCCCTATTTATTTATATAAAACTACTTCCCTCCTGGGGAATGAGTGAGTGATGTGTCCAGCATTCACCACAATAGGATTGCTCTGCAGCCTAGAAATACCAAGTATTTGTTAACAGCCACTAACCCCAGTGACCTCAGGTTCTCCTCTCCAAATCTGCATGATAGGCTAAACAGAAAGGTCAGCCAAAAAATACAGACCCCTAGGGCCTGTAAGATATCCCTACGCAAATTCATGGATAAAATTTAACTAAACCATGGTTATTTCATGAAAACAATGTAAAATGATTTTCAAGCTGGGTTTGGTGGCACTCACCTATAATCCCAGTGCCTTGGGAGACTGAGGCAGGAGGATCACAAGTTCAAAGCCAGCCTCAGCAACTAAGCAAGACTCTGTCTCAAAATAAATATTAAAAAGGGCTGAAGATATGACTCAGTGGTTGGTTAAACACCTCTAGGCTCAATTCCCAGTACAAAAAAAAAAAAAAAAAAAAAAAGAGGTGCGATTTATTCCTCATGCAAAAGGACTTAGTAGATAAAAACTAATTTCATTGTGTTGTTTTCAGATTCTTTGTGAAAGACTGTTTGGTCTTAAAACATAGAAGTCTCAAAATAGGCAAATATACAGTAAGTGGTTTATTGATATTACATGGTAATACAAAATATTTATCTTTCAGACTTTATGGCCATCCTGAAAAATCATCAACGAAATGACCTTCAAAAAAATGGAGAACTTCCTCATCCACAAAGTAAGATCACAGCTGGTCTCCCTATTAAATACTCTCTCAAGACCTTTTTTCTCCTTTGTAGTATTAGAACTCTGGGGGAAAGAAATCTATCCCCATTACCACCCTAAAAGCAAGGTAGTGCTATTTTTGACACCTACTCTAAAAGGATATTCATAAGGTCTCCTGCTTCCTTTACATAAATTAAATAGTTAAGAAATGAATTTTTAAAAATTTAAAGATTCTAAAATGCACTAAAATTACTACAGCAGGTAGTTCCAGGAATACAAAAGCATCCTAGACTTTGTAGTTTTGGGTATAGTGATTCCATTGAAGCATCTTCCAGTTTATTGTCCAAGAAATATCTTGGCCCTAGATGAAGCATATTTAATGAATACTCACTACATGGTATTTTCCCATGTACAATCTTGCTGAATAGCTGTAATTACCTCAATTTTGTATACCTGTGGAAATAAGTGCAAAGACAATTTGCCCCAAGTCTTAACTTTTTGAGTAGTAGAGGATTTGTAATCACATCTGGGATTGCAAAGCACATGCTATCCTTTGGTGTAGTAAAGAACTGTACTCTTCTTAAAGCATTATTAATTTCTGGAACCTCCTAAATTATAATTAAATTCTGGAACTTTTCCTAGCCAAACAAAACAAAAAAACCCAAACACGCACACACTCACGAATTTAATGTTTTTTAAAGGCTGAATTACTTCTAAGGTGACATTGTAACGATCAAAGAGCTCGTTAAAGTAAGCATGTCATACTTTGAACTTGGAACTTTTAAATTCCTTAGCTGCCTTTCTAAATCAAAAGTACTGATTCAGCTATAGTGAGGTCCTATCCCATCTCCTCAAACATGCTGTTCACGGATTTCTGGGTTTTACAAACATAATGGTTTCGGGAAACCTTATTAGCCTACAAATTTAACAATCGCAAGAGAAATATAATTTTAAGTTCCTAAGACTTCTACTCCTTTGGAGGGCCTGAGAGCAGTCCAAAGCACCCTTGCGGACCAAGAGGCCAAAGGATGAGCACAGAGCCAGAGCTAGCCCTCTCCCCGCATCCTCCTCCTAGCCCAGCATGGTCCACGAGGTAGCGCCGGGTCGGGACCCAGGCAAAAATAGAGGGAAAGCAGCAAAGGCGACTGAGGCGTGGTACCCCCAAACGAGCGTGGGCTCGCCCGTTGGAGTTGAGGGTAAAAGCCACGCTGGACCGGCAGAACCTCACCGCCAGGTCCCCGGGCCCTCGGGGGAAAGTTCCTTCCCCGCGCTGAAAAAGCGTCAGAGTGGGAGGCGGCCACGCTGGCGCGGGCGCAGAACCGAGCTTCCCGAGGCAACCCTCCCGCCAGCCCGCGGGCGTCCAGGCCGACTACAGCGCTGACTGAAGGTCACCGCTGCAAGGCCGACCCACGGGCCGCCTGCGCTCACCATTCGAGCGGCGTTCAGGGGCCGGAGTGGGAGGACGGCCACGCCACCCAAGCCAGAAGCTAAGGCAGCAGCTGGGTCCCGCAGGAAGCGACTAGACAGCGCGAGGAGCCGCAGGGTTCGATACATGGTTGCCGCCAGAGCGTGGGCGGAATTTCTGTGCGTCTGTGGCCACGCCTCCGCGCCTGCTGTCAGAGCCCAGTCTGCCCTCAGTCCTATCCAATCAGCAGCCTGAAGCCGAGTTGGTGGGGCGGGACTAATCGTGAATGGCCAGGACCGAGTGAGGAGGCGGGTTAACTTCCTTAGGGTTGTAGTGCAGATTTTTAAGCGTTTGGGTTTATGGGAGCTTAGTGAGGGAGGAATTATGGGAAATGTGGTTCAGATGATTCTTTCAGCCAATTTGGTGGCTACGTGTGGCTGATAGAAGGCGAGAATTTTAGCTGATGAATCAGTTAATGTTTGGTTGATGCAATATCCTAGAAAGAAATATTTATTATTTTATTTATCGTCTATTCATTTATGACATGTTCTTCCTTTTGAAATTCATTTTCTATCCTTTCAGAACATATCTTCCTAACAGAAACTTTGGGAAAGTGCAGCACAATGTAGAGAATGAAATAACAATTATTCATAATCTCACCATTGAAAGTTCTCAATTTTTTAAAACTTTTCAATTTGGAGTCTCTACAGTTTCCCTTCTCTTAACGTGCAACTCTCAGAACTCTTTTTAAAGGTAGGATGGAAAATATCCACAATCACAGATTGGGCTTGGATTTTTTTGTTTGTTTGTTTGTTTTGTTTTGTATTTAGGTTCTCTATTTTTTGACTAATGTATACATCTGCAAATTAAGAAAGACATTGTTTTAGTCCCCAGGCACCCTGGACTACTCCTGTAATCTCAGCAGCTCCTGAGGCTGAGACAAGAGGATCATGAGTTCAAAGTCAGCCTCACTAGAAAGCGAAGTGCTAAGCAACTCAGTGAGCCCTGTCTCTAAATAAAATACAAAATAGGACTGGGGATGTGACTCAGTGGTCTAGTGCCCCTGAGTTTAATCCATGGTACAAAAAAAAAAAAAAAAATAGCACATATTGTTTTAACATAATAGATTGTGTCAAGAACTGAAATAAAATTACATCTAAATCACAATTTTATCTCTTCTCCTATTGCTTGGAACCAGATGTTGGTTAAAAAAGAAAAAGAACCATTGGATGATGTCCAGACTCCAAAAGTCTGAAATCTGCAAAACCAAGTTTATCAGTCAGTGACTTCTGTCAAAGTTCTGGGTAACATTGTTTATATAATTTTGTGACTTAAGAATTTGACTTTCATATTTAAAATATAAAAATATGGGGCTGGGGATGTGGCTCAAGCAGTAACGCGCTGGCCTGGCATCTCAGGGCGCGGGGTTCAATCCTCAGCACCACATAAAATAAAATAAAGATGTTGTGTCCACCAAAAACTGAAAAATAAATATTTAAAAATCTCTCTCTCTATTCTCTCTCTCTATCTTAAAACAAAAAATTAAAATATAAAAATATAAATAAGAGACTGTAATAATTGAGTTACAATCAAAACACTCCCTAGAACCTATATAAATTCTTTATCTTTTTATCTCTTCCCTCTGTCAACTAATGATTTGAGAAATCACTAGAATATTTAATGAGGGTGAAACTAAGAATTATTTAGTTGTTAAAAGTTCAGAATTTAAAAATTGGAATTATAAAGAACAGTGTTAGCAAACACTGAGCCACTTAACCCAAATGTTTATATTTTCTACCATTAAAAGGCAAACAACACTTGCAAATTAATTGTGAAATGATATTATCTTTTTCGTTGGTTTGACATAAAGTCACAGGAAAAAAATTACTATCAACTACTGTCATTTCCTAGGAAATGCTAATATTTTGGCTTAATTGTTTCATACCTTTGTAAAATAAAACATTACTAGTAATGGAACCATATTTTCTTTCCCATTTTTCCAGTAGCTCTCATTATTTTGACATGCATCCTTGCAGTTCACCTGTGTATTTTAAGTTTCACTTACTGGTATACAAAAAAAAAATGTTTTTAAATTTTTACTTTAAAGTTTTACTGTTCTGTAAGTGAATTCTATGTTTTTTTAGATGTAAGATGGAATCTCACTATGTTGAACATACTGACCTCAAACTAGAAATCCTCCTGCCTCAACTTCATGAGTAGCTAGGATCAAAGGCATAAGCCACCACACCTGGCTCCATGATCTTCTTAATTTAATCATGTTTTATTGTGTGGATATTAAATGTTTTATTTATTAGTTTCTTAATGAAGGACATTTTTTTGCTATTATACACAATGCTTTAATGAACATAAATTTATGTTTTTTTCATAGACCACTTCTCTCTTCATTGGGTAATCTCTCTCTTTATTCCTATTGTTTCTATTGTTAAATTCTTCTTTAGATATTGATATTTCTATACTAGTTTTATATTGCTTAATTTTTGCCTGATGAACAGTGCCTGTCTTTATGCTAATGAACTGATGATACCAAACTTATTTTTCAAGCCTAGACTCCTCCTCTTAGCTCCAGAGTCACATATCCAATTGTATACTTAATAGCTCTATTTAGTTATCTAACTCAATACTCAGATTTCAATTATCCCGAATAATAAATCTTGATTGGCACCTCTTCCTCAGAAGAGGTGACACACACTTGTAATCCCAGTCGTCTTGGAGCCTGAGGCAGGGAGGATTTCGAGTTCAAAGCCAGCTTTAGCAAAAGCCAGGTGCTAAGCAACTCAGACCCTGTCTCTAAATAAAATTCAAAATAGGGCTGAGGATGTGGCTCAGTGGTCAAGTGCCCCTGAGTTCAAAACCCTGGTACCAAAAAAAAAATCTTATGAATCTTTCTTGATTTTTGAACACTGACCCCATTTCCCAAATACATACATATACTATGTGAATTTTACCAACAAATCCTGGCTATTTTACCTCAAAATTATATCCTTAGTCCATCCACTTTCTTCTCTGATTACTCTCACTGATTCCTATCTGTTAATCAAATAGCCAGGTAGTTTAATACATTAGTAAACATAAAAAAGAAGTAAGATATTTAGACAATGGTGGAGGGGCTGCTTCTTTAAGATAAGGTCAAAACATTGCATTTGAGCTAAGATCTAAAGGATGAGAGCCAGCCCAATAAAGATAAAAGAGCATTCTTGGCTGAGGCTACAAGTATAAAGAACCTGGTCAACTGAATAAACAATTATTGAGCAAGCCAAGTTCATCAGTGAGATGATATTCTGTCACTGTCAACAGTATGAAAATGACGAAAACAAGAGTAAACACTATGAATCCTCTACTAAATTGCATTTTTTGTATGTTTTTATCATTCCCAGTAAGGTTGATTTGTTAAATGTATAAATATATGTATACAGACATGGAAGAATTCAGTGACTGATGTAAAGTAAGTTCCTCTTGGAATCATTCTGTTGTTATAAAGCACCTGTTTTAGGAATTAACAAATTACTGAATTCCAATTAAGACAACTTGTTTGCTGCTATTGTCACAGATTACCCTGTATATTCCTAACTTGTCCTACAGCCTCAAGTTCTTCAGTCTCAGAGGATGGGAGAAAACTAAATGGTCAGTTCTGCTCCCCCCACCCCAAGAAGTCCTATAAAGAAAGGCAGAGTGGGGCTGGGGCTATAGCTCAGTGGTAGAGTGCCTGCCTTGCACATGTGAGGCACTGGGTTTGATCCTCAGCGCCACATAAAAATAAATAAATAAATAAAGATATTGTGTCCACCTATAACTAAAAAAAAAAGGGGGGGTAGTGGTGATCTTGACCTTCTGAGGTTCTTCCACTGTAATGCTTCCTGCATGACTTTTTAGAAAGAAGAGAGGACTAAATAGCCGGGGTCACCTTGTAACTTCATAATCATTAAACTTTGTTCAAACTTTTGCTGCCTTTTCTCTTAGCAAGTACTTCATGTTATCTTTCAGTTTCTGAAAGTCCTCAACTGTGTTCCACCCAGATTTGTTTTCTCTTGCCTAACAACATACAAAAAGTTAATTATTTCTTCTTCTTCCAACCCATAGAACATCAACTCTAATGATTACATGTTCTACTTTATCAATTCAAACTTCATTTAAGAATTTTTTTTTTCAGTTCTGGGGCTCGAACCCAGGGCCTCATGCATTCCAGGATAGTGCTCTATCACTGAGCCATATCCCAGTCCTCATTTAGGTTTGAATTATCAAAAACAAACAGAAAACAAGATGAGATTTGAAAATTGTTACCTCTGGAAAATAGTCATGTGTTACTGACTGGGAAAAATGAGACATAATAACACAAAATATTTTTATCCATTCCAAGAGCAAACTTTAGTTCTTGTCTCAAAAATAGCCAGGACTTAGTACCAAAGTGACAGTCATTATCTATCAGCAGATTGTTTACAAAGTAGCTATATAGAATTGTATGATTCATTATAAATCTCTTTTATCTCAAGTATTTTCTAGATATGATATGATGTTTTGGCCAATAAGTAGTCTCAAATGGGCCATAAAGATTCCAAAGGAACAACTATTTCAGAGACAGATAAATTTCAGTCATATTCCTCACTGAATCACCCATAGGCATATGGCAAAAACAAAAATAAATCATTTCTAAAGCTATATACCAGTGTCTTAAGCTTCAAAGTACCTACAGGGTTTTTTTTTCTTTTTAAAAAAAACATGTTTTTTAAAAGATTCATTTAGACAAGAAAATGTTTTTTTGAGCACTGCACTTAAAATACTGACATGGAAAGTAAATAACATGAGTATCTACAAGAAGATAAATAACCATCAAACAAACCCACTATAGGAATTCTCAGACACAGATCATAAGGCAATCATGTTTTTTATTTTAAGTAACAAACCACAAGATTGAGAATATTAGCAAGGATACAGAAAACTAAAAGCAATTTAGTATTTATAAAAAAGAACCAAATAAAAATACCAGGATTAAAATTTCTAAAAATCAAAATGAAGAACTGGGTTGGGGATGTAGCTCCATGGTAGAGCACTTGCCCTTCAGGTGAGAGGCCCTGAGTTTGATCCCCAGCACAGAGAGAAAAACAAAACACAACCAAAAAATCAATATATGAGTTTGTCAGCTAATAAGACACAGGAGAAAAGTGAATTGGTATATTAAGCAATACATTAAAAGAAACCAGCCATAATGAAGTGCAAAAGAACAAAGGATAAAAATATGATAAAAGAAAAAGATATATGGAACATCGAAGAATATTTCAAAAGGTGGTGGCTGAGAGTATTCTAGCACTATTGAAAGAAACTGATCCATGTTTTAAAAAACCGACTGATTCTCTAATCAGATTCATATAAAGAAATCTTTACCTAGATACATCTTAGTGAAACTACAGAAAACCAAAGACTCAAGTTCAAAGATAAAGATAATAGACTTGATTTTAAAATATTTTATTTTAAAGCTATCATAATTAGGCTGTGGAATAGGCATTGATTTAGGTTAAGTATAGATTAGGTGGAATGAAATAGAATAGAAACCTAGAACCAGACTTACACATATATGAACACCCTACCTACAATAAAGGTATTTGTGAGAAGAGGGAAGCCTTTCATTTAGTAGTACTGGGAATATTGGGTATTCATTTAGACAAGAAAATAAAATTTTGGCTTGTATATCACAGCATGCACAAATACTAACTCCATGTTGATTATGGACCTAAAATGAAATGTAAATTAAAAATCTCTTAGAAAGACAATATGGAAGAATATCTTCATGACCTCAAGACTATAAAAAAATGTAAAACATGACATTAAAAACTATCACACAAAGGAAAAGGCTGATAAACTTGAATATGTTTAAATTAAGGGTATCTTTCAATCAAAAGACCCTGCTGAGAAGGCAAAAAGGCAAAACATAGCACACAAGAAATTATTTGCAACATATATAAACAATAAATCTCATATCCAATGAGAATTTTTCAAAGACATCCTCCCACCAAAAAATGAGTACTAAACACAAAAGAAGAAAGCCATTTTTTTTAAAAAGTTCACAGGAGTTCAATTTCATTGATTATCAACTTTATTAATTATTATTGCAAATTAAAAGGAGCATGAGATACAGTCCACACCAACTAGACTATCCAAAACTAAAAATTCCAATAGTACACATGTTGGTGTAATGTAGCAGAAGGAAAACTTCTAAACACCTTGTCAAGTAAAAATTAGTACACTACTTTGGAATTTAACATTGGTAAATTTGGAAGATTAAAAAAATGCATAACAAGCATATGAATCCCAAGGAGATTATATATATATATATATATATATATATATATATATATATATATATATATATATATACACACACACACACACATACACACATACAACAGCATTATTTGTGATATTAAAATTGAAAACATATAAGAATCCATCAACTATAGAATGGAAAAGTAGTATACAACAGTGAAGATGAATGAACTAGAGCTACTTGTAACAATACAGATGGATTATTAGAAGCATAGTATTCAAAAAAAGAAGCAAGTTGCAAAAAATAAAAATCCAGTATGAGCTTATTTATAGCAAAGTTTTTTTTAAAAGGCAAAACTAAACTATTTTAGGGATTAATGCATGCCACTACAATTATAAATAATAGTAAAGAAGCAATAAAGTAGGAATACTGATAACTTCTATGAACTAAGAATGATCAGCAATGGACTTGTAGACTTCTGGGATTTGGGTGATATTCTTTCTGGACTGGAAAAGTAGTTACATAGGTGCTTGCTTGACAGAAAGTTATTACTCTTTACATTTGTGCTTTATGTACCTTTTGTGCTAGAGTCTATAATTTTTAAAAGCTTTTAAAAAGAGTATTTTCTATATACTTGAATTGTATGTTGTAAATTGAAAAAATAGAATGGGAAAAAGGTCTTAATTTTGCTACTCATTATATTTTTAAAAGAAAGGAGGGAAGAAAATGAGGGGTAGAGTAAGAGCAAGTGAGAAAGAAGCAAGAAAGAAAAGAAAAGACAGAGAAGGGAGAGATAAAATAAGCTTGTAGAAGAGTAGGGAAAATCCACACACATAAACCACTGCCCATTGGTTGTCTCTGGGCAGGGAAAGTAGGCTGCCAAAGAGACGGTGTTAGAAGAATTACTTTTTCACTGTATATCTTTTTTGGCCTTGATTTTCGTACCGTGTAAACATATTACCTATTCAAAATTAAAAAAAAAAAATTAAAATACCTAACAAAAAAATTTGCCAGTAATTTTCACCATACGTATCCACAAGGGGTCACTATTGAATGAATTTTAGGTCCTACAGAAGAAAAAATCATTTTGAATTTTTTGTACTCTCATCAAGAAGTGAGAAAGCATCTTCATTTATGTTCTTAATTCATATAACATCACGTTCCAGAAAAAATTGCATCTTGCAAATATGCAAAAATAAATAAATAAATAATATACATTTCACCTGAGGTGAAAAGCACAAAAGACTAGGTAGATTATAAGGTGTGAAGAACTAAAGTATGACAATTACATAACTAAAAATCTTGTACAGGAATATATTAATTCCTGAAAAAATTTTCCCTGTTAGCTCCTGCTAAAGAATCCGTAGTTCCCTTTAAGTGAAATTACTGGTAAGTCTTCGTTATAAGAATAATTCATGGATAAATTAAAAAACCGTGCCATCTTATTTTTTTTCTTTTAAAAAAATCTGTGCTAGTTATACATGACAGTAGAATGCATTTTGACATATAGATGGAGTATAACTTCTCATTCTTCTGTTTGTACATGATGCAGAGTTACAGCAGTCATGTACTGTGTCATCTTAAATACAACATGTTTAGAGGCTTCAGATGAGGGAAGTTCCATTCATAGTTAATTATGAATGAAAATGAAACTAACAAATGCATAGAAAAAGGGGAAGAACACAAGACTGTTTTTAAAACCCCGTGTCTTATACATAAGATAGTGTCTTCACTTTGCCAGATTTTTCAAAATTTGGTTATTGCAACAAATCCTGCTTTTTCTCAAAGTTAGGTTGATTGGACTTTGGCTACTGATGGGTTAAGTGCTAGCAAGGGACCTTAGCCCTGACCAAACATTTTGGTTGGTTCACAGAGAACTGGGATTTCAGCAGTATAAAGACCAAGAAAAATCAGTGTATAGGACAGAGCTCCCTCAGTGACAGAAGCAACAATTGTGAAAAGTGCTTTGGCAGTTATGGACTCATCTGATATTCAAAGGAAAAAAGTAGCTGTCATCGGTGGTGGCTTGGTAAGAATCTATTCAGATGTATTGTTATTGTTAGTGTTGTTATATTAACTGTTATTACTCTTAATAATGACTGTTCATCATTTGTACAGATTAATTTCTTATAAAACTTTTCTAATATTTAAATATGCCTGTTTTAAATATAGCACTGATTTTTAACTTGTTCTTTTCCAGGAAAGTTATTTTATATTCATTAAGTACAAAGATGTCTATTTCCCTTCATCATTTTGGTGTAGAATTAAAATAAATAAATAAAGCAAATTGAAGTTTATTTTCTTCCCAAATAAGCTATGTTTTAATAAACAGATATTAGTCTTAATAGTCATTTCAATTAAAACATTGACTTCACTTTGGTTAATAACACAGTTAATACTGTTTAATGAGAATTAGAGTTAAGAAATGTGAAATTAATGTTTTAAATCCTGTTGGATGGTCAGTAGTTATTTGAGTAATTGGGAACAATACTTATGTAGTTGTCTGACTTATTTGGCTGCTCCAATGCTGCACCTAGCATGGAGGAGTGAGGTGCTCACTGGTTACCTGAGCAAGTGAGATAAAAGTGCTGGAACTTGGCCCACACCTAGAAAGAGAGAAGTGTTGATTTTTTTGTTTCCTTAGTTTTAGGGCCAAAGCTGGTTCTCTATTGAATATGGAACAGCCTCCAGAAAACTAAATTTTTTCTTCCCTCAGCAGAGTACCTCTTTTAGAATAAAAATATTCCAACTAGTTAAAATTTAATCATTTTTGTTTTCACCTTTGGTCAAATCATTTGCAGGCCTTTAACTCATAGGTATTCATTCCTTCACTCATTTATTTACTCAACAAAAAATTATTGAAGGCTTAACACCATATGAGACTATATAGAGATTGGTAGATTTATGCCACACAATATACAATGAATGCTAATTTTGGCTTTTGTTCTGCTTTCTTTATTGTCTTCTCCCCCAAGTGCTAGGACATTCCTTTCATATTTTGAAATTCAAATTTCAAAATGGTAAGGAATGTTGTCACATGCCGTATGGGTCACCGGTTGTGACATATGATTTTATTGCTTCATACCAGACTACTACCCAGTTCTTTTCTATCAAAATATTATACAAAATGAGAATCCATTAATTTAACAAAATCATATTGTGTATTTACTCTGTGTGAACATTGTTTTCAGGAGTAGGGATACAGGGATGAACCAACAATGAAAACAATGGAAAAAAACACATAAGATAATTTCAGGTAGGGATGAGCTCTATGAAAGAAATCCAGACAGGGTAATGTGGTTGTCCTGAGGGTACCTGTTTAGAGTGTGGTCAAGGATGACCTCTCTAAGGAGGAGTTTTTTGTCCAGAAATATGAATGATGAGAAGGAATCAACCATGGAAGATCTAGAGAAAGAGCATTTGGGTGAGAGGAAACTGACAGAAGGGAAACCCTGGGACTTCAATGAGCTGCAACTGTTCAAAGAGCAGAACAAGACCAGAGGAGCAGCTGGTCAGGCTGGAGAAGCTGGCACAGCCAGATCTTGTAGGATCTGGAAGGCCAGGTGAGAAGATCCAGATTTTATTCCAATTACAATGGAAAGCCATGGGAAGATTTTAGGGGGAAAAAATAGCTGACTTTAAAAAGTCCTTCAGGCTTTTACATGGAAAATGACTGGGAAAACTTAAAGAAGATAGACCAGTTAGAAAGCTGTTGATCCAATACTTGGACGAGGGCAGCAGTAAGGATGTCTCTTAAAATGTCTCTTAGAACTTCAAGGGGAGAGAGAACAAATTTGTGATTGGATATATGATTTTGGAAGGCACAGATATGTGGGTGTCATCCTCATTATGGAATCACTTCATACATGTGCCTTCGAAAGATCTCAGCTTTCATTCTGAGAGTTTGTGTCTTACAGCTGTAGATGATAGATTTTGTCATGGATTTATAGGCTAAATGTATTGATGGCAAACTGGCCCCAAATGGTGTTTCTGCATTGTCCGAATGGCGTTGCATTAAGAGAAGCAACTGTCCTTCAACTGAAGAGAAATTAGAAGCAGGTAGAGTCTTTAATGTGGTCTGGTTAAAACACTGAATCTGGAATCTAATCAAAACTCACTATAAAATTTTCTAAAAATAATCTTGCCCTCACCAGTTTGAATCTCTTTTACATGCTTTGCAACTACTCCAGGAGCAAAACAAAGGAAGATCAAGCAGTTTTCTTCTGCTCTAGGCTGTCACATTTTTCTTCCCAGCTCACGTAAGACTCTTTTCTTTCTCCCTTCTCTCTGCTTTCTCATTTCCCTCTTATTCTTATTTCGTTCCTGTCTGGTAGCTAGGCCCAAGAGCCAATGGGGCAGGTAGAAAGATGGTGTGGATCAGGAGTTGCTGAGTTTTTGCCCCACTCATCAGATTTGACATTTGGTAGACTACTTCCTTACCAGGATTTTAGAAAAAGAAATCAATGTGCACCATATAATTGTTTATAAAGCTAAAAATAAAATAACTTGACTAGCCAAATAGAAGTGAATTGCATGCAATTAAATGTAATGCAATTCTTATTTTTATTTAATATATTTTCTGACACAGAAATATATTCACAATATACCATACACTTTTTAGGAAAAAAAATGATGATAAGAAATATACATATATATATATATATATATATATATATACAGATATAATATATGGATACAATTTTAAAAGAAAATATCATAAACTTTATATATACATACAAAAATGTGACTACTGGTTGACTAGTAGTAAGATTGTGGAAGAATGCCATCTTTTCTTTAGCAATTTTTTACCTTGTTGATAGCACTTTCTTTCTTTCTTTCTTTATTTATTATTTATATGTGGTGCTGAGAATCAAACCCAGTTCCTCACACATGCCAGGCAAGTGCGCTACCACTGAGCACCAGCCCCAGCCCACAAGAATACTATCTTTATTCATGTTTATCTGTACTTCCTAATTTTTATTAAAAATTTTGGGTCTTACTATGTATCAGATATTGTGGTTTGTGCCCAAAACAGAAAGATCGATGTAAATATCATTTCTGCTGGGGGAGTCAGATTAGAAATGCAAATAAATAATTCAACTCATTGTGAGAGATGTTACTACACATATTGCACGTATGTAGAATTGCAGAAGAAAAGGCAAATAAGTAATTCATAGGAGGTGAGGAAAACTGCACTGAGAACATGAATCTTGAAGGAAAGATAAAAATTTTCCAAATACATAAAGCAGAAAAGAATAGTTCAGGCAAAAGAAACGCTACATTTAAAGGCATGAAATAAAAAAGTGCATGGCATATTTAGTTTCTAGTGAGGCAAATGACTTGAACAGGTAGAAACTGGGGAAGGAGAGGGTTAGTAGAACACCCCTGCAATAGCCCAGGCAAAAAGTAAGGACGCCCCATGTAAGAGGGTGTGAGTAGGAGGAGATCTGTTTTGAAAAAGATTCAAGAGGAGCAACTAATAGGCCTTGTTGCCTAAGTATATTATAGGTAGAGAGGGTTGTTTGACATTACCTGAGCTATCCTGGTAGGTAAATTACTGTATGCTGTTGCCATTTCCAGAAGATATAGAATTCAGAAGGAGAGGAAGGTTTATGAACACAGCATACAGGAGAAGGTTGAGGGATAAGAACAAGAAAAGTTTTAGTCATGTGGAGATGGAGATGTCTGTCAGCACCATAGTACACAGATTCTATAGTCAGAAATAGAGCTCAAGAGAAAGATCAAGGCTCTTAATTAACCCCAGAATCCCCACAGAAAGAACGTAGGATGTTCAAAAACAGACCATGAAGATCACTGATTGGTTTTAGAGACCAAGTGCAGATGTTTCAGATCAGAAACTTTAGGGTAAGGTTTAAACAATAAAATAGACTTAGACATAACAGATGCAATTCTAGCTGGTGCTATAGTTACTAACAAAGTAGGAAGACATTTTTATGTGCCTATTACATAATAAGTAGAATTATTCTGATTTTTTTTTTCTCATTACACTGATATGTTCAAACATCACTTTTTTTTTTTTTGGAGGGAGATCAGGTAACCAGGGATTGAACTCAAGGGCACTCAACTACTGAGCCACATCCCCCCAGTCCTATTTTGTATTTTATTTAGAGACAGGGTCTCATTGAGTTGCTTAGTGCCTCACTTTTGCTAAGGCTGGCTTTGAACTTATGATCCTCCTGCCTCACACCTCCAGAGCTGCTGGAATTACAGACATGCACCACTGCGCCTGGCTTAAAGATCACATTCTTGAGAGACAAAATTATAGTTCCATGATACAATACATATTTCAAGAGATATAAACATGTTTTTAAAAACTTTGATAATAAACTTAGAAACACCTATGATCCTTAGGGAGATTTTTATGTTTCGTTAACAATAGTTGACATGTGTTTAAAAATCATATTACCAGATTAATTTAAAACATATTATAGGGCTAGGGGTGTGGCTCAGTGGTAGGGCACTTGCCTAGCATGTGTAAGGCCCTGGGTTCAATCCTCAGTACCACATATAAATAAAGAAAGGTATTGTGTCCATCTACAACTAAAAAAATTTTTTAAATATATTACAAAAAGAGGAATGAAATGCATGAATTTTTATGATCATTATTTCCCTTTCCCATTAGGGTCAACATTTGTAAATTAAAAGGTATGGTGTATTAGTTAGCTTTCTGCCACTATAACAAATACCTGAGATAAATCAACTTACAAAGAGAGAAGGTTTATTTTGATTCGCAATTTGGGCCTGTGGTGAGGCAGGGCATCATGGTGGAGAGCCCATCGCAGAGGAAAACCACTCATCTCCTAGCAGCTGGGAAGTGAAAAGAAGAAAAAGAAGGGGCTGGGTTCTATAACTCCAGTGATCTAAAAACCTCCCACTAGGTCCCACCTCTTAAACATTCAACCACTTCCCAAAAATACCATACTGGAAACAAAAACATTAATACATGGACGTTTGGGGGACATTCCAAATCCAAACTATATGTATAATGTTCCATCATCATTAGCAAGT